CTGAAATGATGCAGGCAAATTCTCGAGCAGTAGCGCGAGCTCCTTCCTTGCGTTTCAGCTGAAAATAGTCCGATTGCTTTTAGGTAGAAAAGACAAGAATGAAACCAAAGAGATTTTTTTTTACAATTGAAAATAGTGTCTTTAAGAATTTGTATTTTCTGGTAATTCGCCATTTCCTATGGAGAACAGGTGGCTGCATCTGAATCTCGAATTCACCCCAGAGAGCCCAGCTCGCCTCACCCGCAGACACCTCTGCTAAAGGCATGGCCCATTCCCACTGCCTCTCTCTGATTTTACATCATTTTGCCCCACTTCAACCTTCTACTCTGTGTTCCCACCAGGGCCAGTCCATCAGCTGACATCCTCCAAGTGCTGTGTTTAAAACTTCCTAAGCAATTTTATCGCTATCCGTATTCCTTCGAATCATAGAAAAATGAGTAACTTAAAACTCCATTGCTCTGCCAGGATAAGCAACACGTCAGCTACCAGACTTGTTACATGGAGGACCAGTTGGATAGTTCTCCCTACTCCAAACAGTTTTGTGTATTTTAATTTAATTTTATTTTATTTTTAATACAAGTATCATTTTTACTCTAGCAGGGCTGCCTTGGTCTCATCTGCACGTTGGCTGGTTTACAGAGCTAAGACACTTCCTCGTGAGGACACATCACAGCCTCATCCTGTAACGTGGCCGCACTGCCCCATATAACACGTCCCAAAGCCAAGGGCAGATTTGGGAACCTGAGCTTTCCAGTAACAGCCCGACCAGGAGGCCAGACACCCTGCTGATGTCCCTGGCGTTAGCCCATCAAGTCTTGGCAACCTAAGAGAAACTCAAGTGGCTTTTGAGAAAACCCCAAAACCTTCTTGCATCCTGGCCTAGTCTTCTCATGGTCACAAGACCAGAGCCAAAGACCAAAAAATTCAAGCTGGGCTCAAGATCTGGGGCAAACCAATCCCTGGGTATTCCTGCCCATCCCCTTCCTGCTAAAAACAAGTCAATCCCCACTGAGCACTGACTTTGAGCTTTGACCGCAGGAGCCAAAAAATGCAATATATTGCCAAAGGTGAGAGCTTTGCTGTGGCTTTGTTGTGGTTATAACTATATATAATCAGGGAAAAAAAAAGTAAAATATATAACTAATATAACCAGGAGAAAAGCCTGCATGGGAGAGAAAATCCTGCCACAATTGGCTGGTGGGAAAAGATATTACGGCACTAGATTTTGCTTGAGTTCAGCACTGTGTGCTCTCAGAAACAGAACTGCTCCAAAAGCAGGCGAGAAGGAAAGAATTTTCCTTTTTTTTAAAAAAAAATCTTTTTTGTTCTCATCTGATTTAAATTTCACTTGTGCAAGAACTATTATCTGATGTATATGCAGCTGAAGACTTTTTGGGTTTTTATTTGTTTATTTATTTAAGCAGAAGGGATGCGAGTGGGAGCTTGGAGCAGTCCAGGTTTGAGAAATAAAAGCTCACAAGGAGAAATATTTTAAGCCGCGTGCACGAACGCATGTGTGTGCACACGCGCAGGCACCCACAAGCCTCACGGATACGGAGCCGGGGCAAAAAAATAACTGCTCCCATCAGCAGGGCCAGGAGCAGCTTCCAAACATATGAAATAATCCATATTAATTTATGGTAATCTCCAAATGAATGCTGCGCAGACATTACAGGTTAGCCAAAATACTACTTGCATCTAATGAGAAACTACCGCAAAATATCTCCTCAGCTGATTTAGTTTGCATCTTCTAACACCCCTGGAATTAAAGAGAATAAAAAAGCCCCCTGCAGCCAAGTCAGAGCCGTGTTTCCTGTTGGAACAGCCGGCTCTGCAAATGCCACAGGCGAGCGGAGCCTTTCACTCGCTATAGAGTCCTCTTAGACATCTTGCTTTCAGATTTCATCAACTTAGGTGTTTTCGGGCCGTAAGCAGTGAACTTTCCATCAGCAGCATCTTCAGCTAATTAACCCTCCTGATTACAATAATTAGTATTGATTCACTCCTGAATGACTTCTTAAGTATTCAAGCACAATCTACACTTGCAGGAAAACTTCCAGATATGAATATTAATTGAATGCTCGCCTTTGTTTTTCAGCCCCAAAGGTATAGTTTGCAATCTTATATACTTAAATTTGATAACAGAAACACTTCAGTTTTATTCTCGCTTAACAAAGAGAATATTAACACGTTGATGCTGGAGATTGTGCTTTGCGGAGCCGAGTAAGACGCAGACAAAGACGCCAGGCTAGGAAGTAAATACATTTCCCTTCCCTTTCCTATTGTAGAGCGGAAAGGCAGCTCCTGAGTCAGTACCTCTCCTGCTCTCACAGGTAAGACTGGGTTTTTTTTGTGCATTTTGCATCTTTTTGCATTTTGCAACTTTTTTTTTTTTTTTTGACTTTTTTTGGTGTCGCACTGGGTCATTGCCAGAAGAAATAGCCACCTGCAGCACGGTCTGAATGAGCCCTATCCTTGCAGCAAAGGCAGCCGACACCGCTGGGTTTGGTGGCTGCGAGGCACCATGTGGCTTTGCCAAGAGGCGAGATGTCACCAAGCAGGTGACATCGCGATGGCCCCATGCGAGGTCTCAAGCTCTTCCATGTCAGAGCCCGGCTGCTGAGAAATGGCTTCTCCTAGAGATTGCCTCCACTGCCTTTGATGTTAATAGTAATTGTTACGGTTCAAAAAGCAGTATTTCACTAAATCTGCATGGAAGGATTTCTTTCTTTTTTTTTTTTTTTAAAAAGGAATGGGTTTCACACAGAATAATGCGGCAATTAGGCTTCGATGTGAACGTGATGCCCGAAAATAACCTTGGGAATGAACAGAACAACAGGCAACGCATGGCATAAGTTCTGGTTTTGTGGGGTTTACTGCAACCACAGGCCCTGGTGCCGCATGTGGCCTGAACTCACCCATGAGAAGCAAGAAGCGGAATGGGAATATGTCACCTAATGGGACGTTGGCTGCCAGGATCTGCTCCTGGTCACCACTAACGAGTGCACATATCGGGGAGCAGAGCATTCACTTTCTTGCCATTGCCCAAGGCGGCTCCAGTGCATGATGCAGGAGAACGCAGCCAAGGAGATGCCCCTCCATCCTGCCACCCACGGCACGGCCAAGCTGGAGCAACCAGGGTTGCTCCCAAGGAAGTTCTCCCAAGAAGCTGCTGCCACGGGACGAGGCCACGATGCAGACACGCTCCACACGGACACACAACATGCACCACAATCTCCTGCTCCATCACCTCTAGGCTTGGTCTGTGTCGTAAGCAACAAAGCCCTTTGGTGCCTTCTGCACTAGTCATATCCACCAGATTTTCGCCCCAGGGAAGGGGAGGAGATAACAGCAAAAGAAACAGAAAAATGCAAAAAAAAACCCAAACAAACAACAACAAAAAAACAACCCACCCAAAAATTCTCAGAGTTTCCCCCAAAAATGTTCACTGTTGAAAATTCCGGCTGTGGAAAGCCTCAGCCCTCACCACTTTATCTTTAAGGTCCCTTTTTGCTGTTTGTTTTCACTATAGAAATCAATGCAATACAATCCGGTCAAAAAACAAAACAAAACAACGAACATCAAACCTTAAAATTAATTGAGCTCCAGAAAAAAAAATTAAAAAGCACCATTAAGTATCTATCATTTCTCTCAGAAAGGCTTGCAGCTGTTAACAATAGCAGTGATATATTTACATAGCATGTGAACTATTTAAAGACTTTGAACACTTTCAGAAACTCCAGAAGCTGGGTAGCAATTCCTGTTATTTAAGATATAACCTGCTGTCTGAAAAACAGTTAATGTAATTTTTTTTAGAAAAAGCTTTGCAACAGTTTCTTTTCAAAATGCACGCTGGACATGAACATATTCCAAATCCATAATAACAAATAGAAAAGTGGCAGCTGCTCTAATCCATCTGCGGCTTCCTAAATAGATAGATAATTCACAAAATGCCATGTGAATAATTTGTTAGATTTGGGGTTAGGAATTTTCCAGGTGAATTATTCTGCTTGACCTTAAAAAAAAAACTCATGTATGTGAATAACTGGATGAGAAAAATGGAAAGGGGCACCGTCTCCTGCTTTCAGGGCTGCTTTTCGTTTTCCTTGTGTTTCCCTTCCCTAC